AAAACAAACCCTAGGATATAGGTGCTCAATAAATATTACTTTGCATCCCATATTTTAGGAATAATTTTTCCAAAGAGAATATAAACATTCAACTTCGTAAACATTTAAATTTTCATATACATCATGAAAAAACTATCATTTATGTTTTTTTCACATCATCTTTAAGACAATTGGCTATAATAACAATAATAAAAAACATTCTATCACACATTTAAGTCATAGGAATCTCAACATGTATTAAAGTAACTGGATCACCTAACATTATAGGAAAACAAATTTCCAGAAGAACAACAGGTAAGCAAAATAATAAAGATATCACAAGTTTTAAAAATGACTGCAAAAATTAGCCAAAAATATTATTTGTAACACATTCAGAAAATAAAACATCTCAACCAGAACAAATAAAAAGACTTACACATGTTTTGAAAAGCTATTTCACAAAATAAGATAGCCAATGCTCTACTTCATTAGTGACCAGTGAAATAAAAAGCAAACTAAAATAAAAACACTATTAACAACCCTCCAGAATTGCTAAATTTGACAAGGAAAAAAAAAAGCACAAGGAGAATTGGTAAAATCCACTGTGAAAAGCAATTCAATCTGATCTAAGAACTCTACTCTTTGTTGGAAAACCACCACCAACAACAGAAGTATGTGTTCTAAGAAACATAATATTTCAGCATAATCAATAATAACAACTATCCAAATATTCAACAGTAGAGGAGATAAACAGAATATTTTTGTCAACGGAATATTACCAGTAATGAAACTAAAAAATTTTAAATTATCAGCATAAACTATAGGATGATTCTCACAAATATAACAAGAACAGACAAAACAACAATCTAATATATCAGCAAAACCATAGGATGACTCTCACAAATATAACAAGAAGTGACAAAACAACAATCTAATAAAATACATGCTTAGATATTAAAGTCATTTACAATCCTGAATTCCCCAGAGATGCCAAACTGCTGAGAATCTCAGGTACACCAGTGTTTTGGCTAAGAATTTTGGATTTTTTGTAGAAATGAGACCCGGCAGCCTCCACCAACCCCACCCCTGTACTTGTGGGTGTGGTTCCCATGTCCTTATAAGCTCATCTATAGGCCTAGTTGACAGACTCATGATCGAATATGATGGCCACTTAATACCTGCACTGCAAACCACAACACCTTAAAGGAGAGAGAGAGTAAAAGTAAGAGGAGGGAAAGATGGAGGGAGGGGGGATGGCAGAAGGGATATTGGGAACATTGGTGGTGGAGAATGGGCAAAGGTGGAGGGATGGGTACTTGATCATTGTATGACTAAAACGTAAGCACGAAAGTTTATAAGTCTGTAATTGTACCTCACGGGGATTCATTTAAAAAAAAATCTCAGAAGAAGCCTAAAAACTCACACAGATATAGCAGTCCAGTTCAAAACTCTGGGGCGCCCTTGGGGAGGGGTCAGGCCAAGTCCCCACCCTGCCAAAGCCCTGGTAACTACACTCACGCCCCAACAACTGTAGCCATGCCAACGGCCAGAAAATTTTCAGGTACACCTATTTGGGGGCTGAGAACTCTGGGGTCTTCCCAGAGTGGGAGGTAGCCTCCTCCCCCCTTCCATTTCCATTCTTCCAAAAGCCCTGACAGCCACACCCACATCCACAGCTGCCGCTATGTAAGCTAACTGCCCAGTTAAATATCCTGGAGAGGTTGGAGTAGGAACAGGACATCTCCAAAGTCTACAATACTAACATCCCATCCCAGTAGGAGATTTCCTATCAAATTAGATAGGAAAGGAACACAGAAGCCACCTACACTCAATAAACAAAAATAGCACACACAACAGTGAAGAAACCCGGCCGGCGGTCACCTCAACACCTGAAGAATTCTCCGGGCCCCATACCGAGCCGATATCGCCAGGATGGGGAAGGTGCAGTCTCCCCACCTTCTCCAGATGGAATCCCAGCGACCATGAGCTTCTACAAGTATGGCTCTGGTATGTGGGCACCAGGACTATTCTTCAAAACCGTGCAGCTGTGCGAGCAATGGAAAGTAAATGATCTAGCATCTGTCCCTGGAAAGCAGGCTTGAATGGAGGTGGGAAAATTCGAGCAAAATATAATGCCCAACAGAAATGCATCTGGACTGTGCATTAAACTACGGTGCTATGCCGCCCAAGGAGGGGGAAGGGTGTTTGTCCCTCTGCCTATTCCCCCTGGCGGCGGCAGCATGGTGGCCACCATCTTTCAGAACCTAATGGACAGCAAGGTATGAGACTGCAGTGACGAGGCACACGGGGCCTCATAGGATGGGGGGTGGAACCGGCCCTGCTCCCCGCCCTCACAAGGCCCCCCCGTTGCCGCCCACGAACGCCTCCTCCGGTTCCTGAAAGATGGCACACAAACCAACCTCAGAACTCAGCGGCTTTAGAAGTAATCCCTCCAGACTTATTACTAAAATATCAGAAATCCAAAATTGCAGCCACACAACATCATAAGCTCTTCATAATCAGCAATAGAAAACAAATTATATAATGATGTCTTTTTGGCAGGTCTGATTGTTGGGGAAAATTCCAAACAATAATGATGGGTCTTTTGTCGTAATATTGAATGTGATCAATGTAGAGAGAAGAGAGAGTAAAGTGGAAATCTGCCACACAGGCAGGGGGCCTCTATTGCAAACTACAACACCCAAAAGGAGAGATAGGGCAAAAGGGAATGCCCTGCCACAGAGGCGGGGTGGGGAGGGGATGGGATGGGGGTGCGGGAGGGATACTGGGATCATTGGTGGTGGGGAACGGGCACTGGTGGAGGGACGGGTACTCAACCATTGTGTAACTGGAACACAAGTGTGTAACTGGAACGCAAGCAGGAAAGTTTGTACCCCATGGTGTTTCACTAATAAAAAAAATATTAAAAAACAAATAAATTAAAAAATATTAACACAGAAGTTTCAACAAGCAATAACAGCTTAGTAAACAAGGATTTAATTGTGCCACGGTGAGATATAACAATTTTCACAAATTTTCTTTAAAATACTTTCTGATTAACAATTGATATGACAAAAATTATTCTAAGCCTGCTAAGGGAGCAGGCTTGGGAGGTGATTGAGAAAATGGGGACCGTGATGGAGGGAAGGTCATACTGGCACTGGGATTGGTGTTGGAACACTGAATGCCTATAATGGATCATGAGCCATGAAAAGAGTTGTGGTTTACAACTTTCTAAACAACAGTGTTTGAATAAAGTGGAAAAAAATTAAATCAAAGTTATTTATAACAGCTGAAAGGAAACAAAGGACAGAAAAGGGGCTTCCTTTAGGGAAATGAATGGGGCACTAATCAGGTAAAATAGATATCCTGAAGATTGCTGTTAGAACACTCGCTCCATCCTATTCCCTGTCTCTGTGAGCAGAATGGGCGAGGGTAGGCAAAAGTCCTATACTTCCCTTTCCCTGAGGAAAGCGTGACTGGCTGGAGTCAGGCAATTCCCTTTCTCCCGTTATCAGTCAATAATTGATCAAACTTAGGTTCTGGCTTCAGGAGAAACTACAGCACAGCGGTAGGGCGTTTGCCTTGCACGCAGCCTACATGGCCGACCCGAGTTCGATTCCTCCGCCCCTCTCGGAGAGCCCGGCAGGCTACCGAGAGCATCTCGCCCGCCCGGCAGAGCCTGGCAAGCTCCCCGTGACGTATTCGATATGCCAAACACAGTAACAACAAAGTCTCCAATGGAGACATTACTGAGCCTGCTCGAGCAAATCAATGAACAATGGGAGGGCCTTTACTTTACTTTACTTTAACATAACTATATTATTATATATCCTAAAAGCAGAACCTATTTAAGAATTTACGAATGAGAAGTTAGAGTGATAGTATAGCAGATAAGGCATTTGGAGTGATAGTTTAGCAGGTAAGGCATATAACCCAATATGATCCCCAGAGTCCTGCCAAGGATGATCCCTAAATCCAAGAGCCAACAGTAAGCCCTGAACACTGCTGAATGTGGCCTAGAAAAAAAACAAAATGAAAACACAATTATTACTGAATTATAGGGCTAGAATATAGCTAAGCTGCAGAGCTCTTACTCTGCATATTTGATTCCTAACACTGTAATAAAAATAACAATAATAATACAAAATGCCGTGACATATTTCAAATGGTTCCTTTTCTCCTTTTGCCAGAAATTCAAAAGGACTTTTCTCTATATTCACTGAACAAGTCTGATGTAAATGCAAGAAAACTCAGTTCCCATGAAAAGTTTGTTAAGAGTTGCACATACTGCACCTCCAACAATCCGTCAATTACAGTTCCTGCTTCCCTGCACCAGCACTGGTTCCTGAACTGATCCCTGATTTTACGGTTTTCATAACTTTCTAGAAAAGTTACGGTTTTCTAAATTTAGGCCATCAGTTAGCCTTGGAACCTCTCTTTCATTCAATGCTGTCAGGTGAACAGTACCGACTGAACGGTTCATTGCTCTGGCACAACAACGTCACCAGGACTATACCCAGCAGTGCTGAAGGACCAATGCAGTGCTAAGAATGAACTCAGGACATTTTGCACATGCTAAGTTTATACTCTACCAGTTGAGCTATCTCCGCAGTCCTGCATTTTCCTTTAAGAAACATTTTCTGGTGCTGGAGAGGAAAGGGCTTGCTTAGTGCATGGTACAAACCCATTCGGTCCCTGGTACAACATTTGATCCCCTGAGCACGGCCAGGAGTTATCTCTATGTACAAAGCCAGAAGTAAGCCCTGAGTAACACGGGCCGTGGCTCAAAAGCCAAAAGAAAAGACAAACAGGTCCATTATCATATACAAATAAAACTGAGTTGTAAAGTTAAAAATTATTAGTTTTCACTTTCCTCTTACACTACGCATATTCATATTTTCAGCACGGACACTGAGCTTAAACATCTGAACCTTTCAGTTTACCAGTTTACCTCAACATAAAATTATAAAATGTAATCTTTAAATTTAATATTTGAAATAAGCAATAAAATAGTTTACCATTTTGATGCCTGTAGAAAATGTCACTGGTTTTGAAGGCTTAGGTTTCTCAAGTTGCATTTCCAATTGGGTAGATCTATCTTTGTGCTGAGCCAAAAGTAAAGCAACAGGGAGATCAGAGCTCTCCTGTAAAAAAAAGTTAAAGTACAATATGAGAGCCCGGCAAGCTACCGAGAGTATTCGATGTGCCAGACACAGTAACAACAAAGTCTCCAATGGAGACGTTACTGGGCCCGCTCGAGCAAATCGACGATCAACGGGAGGGCCTTTACCTTTTACCTTATGAAACTTTAAAAAGAAATAAATCTTTCATTCTAAATATGCTTGCCATAAAGGTATTTGATGTCAACCTAGACGTTCACTTTAAGGTGACTTAACAAAAGATAATTCACTTTCCATAATAAGAGAAAGCTGGTTTATATTCATAAATCAAAATAACCTGAAAAAAAGTATTTTTTATAAAATCAACATTTTTATAAAAACAACAGGATTGTTTCATTTTACAAAGCCAACCATATCTATTAATTGTTTTAAAAAAATCATAAGTTAATCTAATCACAGAGTAGTCCAAAGTACTCCAACATATCAAATGTTTATCTAAGAGACATTAATTTTACCAGTGAATTCAGACGAGTTTGAAATTGTTTCCCATTAGATTTTCCCTGAGGCTGTTAGGAAATAATTCTTGCTCTGTTTTACACAATAAAACTACTGTTAAGTACAGCCAAAAGTATATTTATTTTCCCCTAACTTACTTTTAGAAATTAAGTCCAAAAATTTTCAATTAGTAGATGATAACAAATATGTAATATATTAAATCATATATAAACCTGCACATATAACAATAACACAATCAATTAACATTCTTATATGTAGACTATTGTTTATTCTCTTTAAAATGAAGATAGTCTGGCAGGCTCCCCATGGCGTATTCAATATGCCAAGAATAGTAACAACAAGTCTCACAATGGAGATGTTGCTGGTGCCCACTCGAGCAAATCGATGAACAATGGGACAACAGTGCTACAGAGCTTTAAAATGAAATTCTCTTACAAATATAAAACTGTGGAGCTAAGGTTGAACTCAAACAAAATGCAATACAGATTCTTCCCTTTGCAATTTGCCAGATAATAAGACCAAAAAGCAGAAAGAAGCCAAAGACAGACAGACAGACACACACACACACACACACACACACGCACACACACACACAGAGCCTACATATTTTTTTTAAAAACTAGCTACTACCTATAATTTAACTCCAAAAGCTATATTGTTAAAATTTTACTGAATGAAAGTGAACATACAGTAGAATTTAATTTTCATTCCAAATGTGACAATATTTTAGGTGCAACTGTGGCTAATTATAATATTTAAGGGAACTGTTTTAGGGTTACACTAGAAATTATTCAAATAACAAGAAATATGATTTCAATGAATTGTGTAGAAAAAGATATGGACCTAAAACTTTTGTATCAGAAATACTATGCAAAAGCAATGTTATAAAGGTTAAAACTTTTTAAATGGAAAAACATGTTATTTATAAAACAGAACATTATTAAGGAGCAAAATACTTGAGACCTGGCTTTAGCAATACTGAGTGAAACTGAATATAAAAAACTGTGAACATATACTTGAAACTTTTCACTCCACAATAAAGTGTTAGTGATGCAATGATAACAGAATCTCTGTGAAGTCTAACAGCTCTTCTAGATTTCCATTAGCACTTTTATAATAAAATACAAAATGAAAGGACATTTCAAATGGACTATGGTACACAATTCCTTTTAAAAGCTATTACTATTTCTTCATGTGGAGAAACTAAGAGAAGAAAAAGTAATTTCCATCTTTGTCAAATTATACTCCAAGTGAATTCAAATATTGTTCTTTACTTCCTATTTATTCTAAAATGTAGATATTATATAAATACAAGACAATGAATGTTTTCATTTCAAGAACTTACTAATCAATAATTTGGCCTTTTAAATCCTAGTTTTATTTTCACACAAAAAAAGCATATGAATATTAACATTTCTTAGTAAACAGCTAAAATAAACATTCCAGGACGCTACAACAAATTTCGGTGCAAGGAAATTCTAATTTTAATTCTAAATCTAAAATTACTTCAAACCTGTACAAATTTTATTTTAGCACTCAAAACTTAGAGATTAGAAAACCTTTGTGAATGTTGAACCAAAATTAAACAGTAGTTCTAACACCAAAAACAATCTAAGAGTAAAATATTAAACCATGGATAGCTCACATAATCTTTGGAATAAATAAAATATAGATACAGACTTTCAAGTTATTTCATTCTTTTTAGCTTTCTGGAACCTACACTAATTGCCTAAAGGTCTATTTAATATTTAAAGAAATTTTAATAAGACTGCCTGTAATACTCATTAAGGGCTTTATAATGACCATTTTTAAAAGATTATTTTAACTGACTTTAAGTAAGCCATCTGGCAAACAATATTTCTAATAAAAATCAGCTACTGTGTTTGAAAACAATATTAGCCCATACAAAATTTAAGACATTAGCTGAAGAGAATTTTCAAACAGGAATATAAAAAATTTAATAAGTCAGGACCTTTTAAAAATTTTTTTCCAAACTTTTCAAAAACTTAATTTAAAGTTAGGATTAAGAAAATCGATTTTTTGACACATATTAACAAATACTAAGCAATAAACATGAAGGACAAAAGAGTAAAATTCTGTCACAAACAATATATTGTAATATATACTTACATAATACATGACAAACTACAACTCTTTTTAAAGGTTAAAAGTGACTTTCAGCACAAGAACCAAAAAAAAAAAAAGCCAAGAAATATATTGTAGTAAGTAGTACTCGTTACCTAATTAGATACAGAAAATAATTCTAATACTTAAAAAAGTATTAGAGTTATACTTTTTATAAAATCAATTACATGAACATACATTAAAAATAGATATTATTTTATTTTAAGGGTTCAGGAAGATAAAAAGAATTCTCACAATTATTAAGGACTAAATATACGTCAACCTTTTAACAGAATAAAAAAAAGAAAAGAAATATTCAAAATTAAAGTTATAAGAACTATTACAAATAATTTTTTAATGGAAACCAGAAATTCAAACTGCAGTGGTATTCTAAACCAATCTACTGAAATTAATTGTTCTAATGAATACAGTAAATTGCTAAGGATTATTTAACCACCGTGTTACATGATCTAAACAGTGAAGAAAGTATGTGCAGTAATGACTTGCAGGTGAAGAAAACAGGAACTAGAGGGGACTCAGGGGGGTCTCACAAAAAAAAAAAGTATTAATTCCAGATTATACATAATGTACAACATTGGCGTTTCACATCTTGCTTCATGCCCCAAAATTAACGGGGAGCTTCAGGCCAATAGCAGCTCAACGAGGCAACAAAATTTAGTAGTATTAAATAAAAAAAGAATATTCAAGAATAACTGCTATGTAAAGCTGGCATAACGTCAAATTAAAATCTAAAAACCCTTTAAAATGTATGGAATATTTTTAAGACATAATAGTTTATTTTTCATCTTATGTCTACATTCTGAATTTGGGATTAGTTAATTGTATGAAGGAAAAACATTACCAAAAAAAAAAGTATGTTTCTATGTATTAAATGATGAGGAATTTCAGTTGCTAAAGTCATATCTGCCATTTTCAACAAAAATTAATGTAAGTTGATAAGAAAAAAATATTATATTCTATTTTAAATGCTTCTACAACAAGTGAATTTTGCTTGGTTTGAACTTTATATAAATGAAATTTTAAATGCTTACATACCTCATACTTAGAACCAAATTTAGATTCCACACCTACAAAGTGCATACAGTATTTATCCTAACACTGAGGATAAACATCTGCCTAAACTTCATTAACGTCCATAAACTTTCTTTCCTTTTTATCAACTTCTAATTTAAGTACTCTTACTTCTTTTTATTCACAAACTGGAGTGCTTTCAGGAAAGAATAAACTAGAGCCATATATATAGATCAATCATAGAGTACATATTTGGTATTCTATGAGACTTTGGGTTCATTCCCTGAGACCCCACTCCTCCATCACAAGAAAGAAAAACAAAATTGCATATTTACCAAATCAAAGAATAAAAGTTTATCATCAAACCAGTAAAACTGTAGTGATCACAGTCACGGTCCTCCCGTTGTTCATCGATTTGCTTGAGCAGGCCCAGTAATGTCTCCTTCATGAGGCTTGTTGTTACTGTGTTTGGCATATCGAGTACGTCACGGGTAGCTTGCCAGGCTCTGCCGTGCGGGTGAGATACTCTCGGTAGCTTGCCGGGCTCTCCGAGAGGGGCGGAGGAATTGAACTCAGGTCGGCCATGTTGGCCACTTGTAAGGCAAATGCCCTACCGCTGTGCTATCGCTCCAGCCCAAAACTGTAATGATACCTGATAAAAATAAATTATGGTGACAGAAGGGACAAGGAAAAATGCAAAATTACTTTCCTGGAAGATGGTTTTACTAGGTGTAACTTCATCAATATTATTATGTTATAAGCATCAAACAATGTACTATCAAATCCATGAAACACAATACAAACCTTGATAATTATCATTTCCTTTATCTAGCAATATTGAATACTTGAGCTAATTGCTGAAAAACACAAATAGTTTGCAAATCAGGCCATTACTTTTTGACATAAAAATATTAAACAGAAGGGCAAAAAGATAGTACGGAAAGTAGGGCATTTGCCTTGCAAGCAACTGACCCAGGTTCAATTCCCAGCAAGACATATGGTTGCCATGCATTACCAGGAGTGATTTCTGAGTGCAAAGCCAAGAGTAACCCCTGAGCACTGTCTGGTGTAACATATATATATATATATATACATATATATATATATATATATTACAGAATAACCAGAACAATTATAAACTTTGCATGGTGTCAAAACACTGAACACGAGAAAACTAGTATTAGTCAGGAGAAAAATACTCTGGAAATAATATATAAGGTTAGAAACATAAACAACCTATTAACAATGTACAGGTGCATGTGATTTATAATATTACTGTATTACCTGAAAATAAATTGGTATTGACAAGAAGTTTTTAAAAAATTAAAAATGAACTAAGTGAAATGAATCAGAATGAGAAAGACAAATATTGGAAGACCAAGCATGGCATATAAAGAAACTAAGCAAAACAATCTAAATGAAGTTAATGAAAATAAACTCCATGACATAAACACAAAACTGTCCCAGGTTATCAGACTTGGAAGAGGATCAAAGCAAGAAGGACCCAATGTCCTGTGATAGAGGGATACTGGCACTTTGGTAGTTGGGTGTGGTGTGGTAACATATACTTTTGAGTAGTTGTGAATATCTATGCATAAAAAATATTGAAATGTTGCAAGCCAATGTTATCTCAATTTAAATGTATATATGTAGATCTTCCCCATCTATTCAATTTTTTTTTTTTGGCTTTTTGGGACACACCTTGCAATGCTCAGGGGTTACTCCTGGATCTGCACTCTGGAATTAATCCTGGCAGTGCTCAGTGGAACATAAGGGTTGCTGGGGATAGAACTCGGGTTGGCCCTACCAAACGCCCTACCTGCTAGACTATCACTCTGGCCCATCTTTTTAAATCTTAAGAGAACAGTGACCCATGCCAACATCTTGACAATAGTCACAGGTGTAATCCTAAACCAGAGTCACCTAAGAAAGCCCCTCGTGTTTTCTTGCATCATAAAAATTGTATTAGATAATAAGATAAATGCCTTTTATTATTTAAAACCTAAATAAATAGTAGGCTCAGGAGATGATTCAAAGGGCCAGGACACATGTTTTGCATGTGGGAGCCCTAAATCTGATTCCTAATATTACCTGGTTCCTAAATAATGTCAGATATGTTCTCCCAAAAATTAACTAAACACAGGAATAGAAGTAAAATAAATAAGACAAATACTAAAGAAAGAGAGATTAACAAGCCGCAAAGATGTCTCCAGAGTCCACGCCAGACTGAGTCTCATCCAGGGCACCCCAGAACAATGATGGTGGGAAGGTGTAATAGTGGATTGGTGTTAGAATACTGAATGTAATAAAAAATAATTGTGAATCTCTTTATAAAACATAAAAATTCAAAAAAAATTTAAAAAAAGAAAACTCAAGGAGAAAAAAACAAATACTGAAGAAACGCCACTAACCTTCAAGACCAATGACATTTGTAATCAGATTTAGCATTAATACATACCAATTCATCTAAAAATGTCTGTTTATTCTTCCTTTTTAGAATCTGTTGGAGTTGTTCTTCTTTCTGTATAAACAGTCTTCTTTGTTCACTTTCCTGTCGTTCTACCTCCAAAGCTTCTTCCAATTCCTCCTGTTCCCGAGTCTAAAAACATAAACAGGTGTCTGAGCTTGGTGTCCAAAGTCAATCCTATACTATTTCCTGATGTAGGAATCTCGTCGTGGCGGGGGGGTGGGGGGGAAGCATGCCACAATAGCCAGTGATGCTCAGGGGTCATTCTGGGCAGTGCTCAAAGAGTTTTATGTGGTACCAGATAAAATTCAGGGTCTATTGCACGACTTTGGCAAGAGCCTTAAATCCTGTACTATCTTCTCTCCAGCTCCTAAAACTATGTTTCTATGTTTATGTCAGCACCAACTACCACCAAGTATCACTAATAGGAAAACTCCTCTCACAGAATGACCAATAATTAAATAATAATTACCACCAATAACAACAAAACAGTTACAACACATCTGTTTAACAGTAATATAAAATATAAAAACAAGGGGGTATGGTGCCGCCAACAGGTCAACCTGTACCTGCGGGGAGAGTGCATCAGCAGCCTGATGATGCCTTCAGGCTTCCTGATACCCCAAAATTACCTCTGTGCCTTTGGCCAGACCCCAACAACTTGGGACCAAGTTTACCAAGAAATCAAATGGTCAAAAGTTAAGAATGTGGGAGCCACACCCCCAAACCACCTCTGGCTCAGTTAGTTACATAAGTTAATTTATTGGCCTTATTTCAGAGACCCATAGATAAATCTCGAAAGAGATCAAAAGCCACAGTTAATCTCGGACCTGCACATGGCTGAACAGAGTGGAGTAAATGGGTGGGGGACAGGTTGGCCTGGTGGCCTGCCCAAGCAGAGCCCCCAGCAGCCACTTGCTTACTCAGTCCGAAATTGCTGCCATACTCCCAGCCTGACTCCACAGTCTCAGGACGGACCTTACCAAGATATAATCTGTTGAAAATTCTGGTATGCAGATTTAATAACTGAAATCTCCAGGCTTTCTCAGAGTCCGGATGGGCTACCTCCCCCCATCTCCCTGTACTTCCAGAAGCCTCGGCAGTCATTCACACCCCAAGGCTGCCACCCAATTGTAAAGCTACTCCAGCCTTGCCATCCTGGTAAAAATACCAAATGCCCTGAACAAACACCATGACCTCTTATTGCCTGTATTGCAAACCATAATGCATAAAAGTATAAGGGTAGAGAGAGCAAGAGGGAAAATGCCTCCAATAGAGGGAGGCTAGGGGTAGGGGGTGGGAAGTGGGGGGGATGGTGGTGGGGAAACAGGGGACATTGGTGGTGGGAGTGTGCACTGGTAGAGGGATGGGTGCTGGATCATTGTATGACTGAAACCCGATTATGAACAGATTTGTAATGGTCTATCTCTTGGATATCCAATTAAATTTTAAAAAAAACATGGGGTTCATCCCAAATTCAATCAGCTTAATCAATGGCTGAATAAATAGCAATTCTCCTACATAAATATATATAAACAACCCAAATAATCACTCTAACATATATGAATTAAAAGAATTTCATTCAATTATCATCACTATAAAGTTTTCTGATTATTAAAAATTCTTTTTTCAAATAATACCTAAAATTACTTCATTCTTTCATTATAACTCTCGTTATTATTTTCTACCTTAAAACTAGGAATAAAAGAAGTGACCTAAAAAGTACAAACCTGTTTTATAGTATATAAAGCTAATAAAACAAGGCTTGTAGTCATGCTAATTTTGATGTATTTTCTAATGCACTCAGGAAATCTAAAATGTAAAAAGAGCACTTTATATGACACATTCATGATACCAGAAATGAGGCATCTTTCTAAAGAAATTAAGACTGGGTATGAGTAGAGTAAGTACTTAGAACAAATTCTTTGAGACGTTTTGATGGCAGGAAAAAATATTATAATAAAATCACTGTTCTTCCAAAATCAAGATGAGAGGCCAGAGAAACAGTACAGCAGGTAGGAGCTTGCCTTGCATATGGCCAACGCGATTAAATTCCCAGCACACCACATAGATGCCAAAGGCCCCTCAGGAACGATTACTGAGTGCACAGCCAATAGTAAACCCTGAGCACCACTGGGTGCAGTCCAAAAACCAAAAAAGTAAATAAAACAAAAGTAGCACTGTAGCACTGTAGCACTATCCTATTGTTCATATCAATTTGCTCAAGCGGGCACCAGTAACATCTCCATTGTGAGACTTGTTGTTACTGTTATGGTTTTTGCCATATCTAATACGCCACAGGGAGCTCGCCAGGCTCTGCCATGCGGGCAGGATACTCTTGGTAGCTTGCCGGGCTCTCCGAGAGGGACGAAAGAATCGAACCCGGGTTTCAGCCGTGGCAAGGCAAACGCCCTACCCTCTGTGCTAACAAGTAAAAGATGAAAATATAAGTTAGGTGATCCAGCTACACATTTTTATGGCAACAGAATGTTTGTTTTTATATAATCATCATCCAGCGAATGTTGTGAGACTGTCTAATGATATTAGTTTTAACATCCTTTTTAAAGAAAGAATTTTTTTAACGAAATAATTTAGAACCTTCTACATTTGTTAGTTTTCTTTTTTTTTCCTCATTTTTTCTTACAATTCTGAATCCAAATTGCATGGTGCATTTTGGCAGAAGAGTAAAGGCTATGCTAAGTTCCATAGCTGAAAGTTTCTCAAAAATTCCAGAGTAAAATGAAATTTACTTTTCCCTTTCCTTTTCTTAGACTGGTAGGGAACTGGAAAGAATGCACTTTTAATCCAGGTACAGAAGATTTATTTTTTTACCATGATCTATCATCAATAACTGTCACAGTGACCAAGATTTCTAGAAGAAATTCAACCAGCTTCCATCTTAATTTTCTTATTCGATCCTTCTAGCCTATGTATCTGAAAGCTAACACAACGACAAAAATAACCTGACAGTTGCTCAACCAAACCATTTACAGTAAGAACTCTAGAAGCAAACCAAATTAATGCTCACATTGTATCCAAGGGCTGAGTAATTGTATATTTAAATTTTTCTTTAATTTTTACAGTTCTTCCACAGAAACATTAATTTCAAAATAAATTACAAGTCATAGAGATGATACAAATGTTAAGGCACTTGCCCTGCCTGCAGCTGCAGCAAAGACCCTGGCTCAAATCCCAGCACTGCTAATAGACCCCTAAGCACCCCGCCAAGCATAGTCCTGGAGGACAGAGCCAGAAGGAGTAGCCCACTAGTTGTAGCCAAAAAGTAAATTCAAATCCAGGAAGAGGTAGTTCCAACTTCAGGAAGCTTTAATTCCCTTAGTCCCACATCTTTTTTATTCTATGTGGTACATGATCAGGAGTATCAGAAACAGCAGTATTTTTAAAGGATTCCATATAAGGTGTTTCACAATGGTCATACTCTTTCCCCTTTATAAAAAAAAAAAAAGGTGGGTGGGGGCTGGAGCAACAGCACAGCGGGTAGGGTGTTTGCCTTGCACGCGGTCAACCTGGGTTCAATACCTAGCATCCCATATGGTCCCCCGAGCACTGCCAGGAGTAATTCCTGAGTGCATGAGCCAGGAGTAACCCTTGTGCACTGCCAGGTGTGACCCAAAAAGAAAAAAAGGGGGGTAGGGGGAAACTAGTTAGTATATTCTTGTCTTTATGCATGAAAACCACATTAAGAGAATCAATTAGTTCATCTAAAGGTCATAGTACCATGAAGAGGGTTGCAACAACCAAGCAATTGATGCTCCAAAAATAGGACTGCAACATTTGCTTTCATGTCACATTTTCAAAAATCCTGATGTCAGTTGTTCAATTCTAGAGAAATAAAGGGCACATTCCTTGACTGCAATACTCAGAACATAAAAGAAAAGCGGAACTATTTCCTTCATGTGTCTATAATAATAAAGACCTGAAGTGTCTATCTTCTATACCAATGATAGAAAGGTTACTATAATTAATCTCAAACAGAGCTTTGGGCAAAGTCACAGTAAAAAGATAGGGTACCAGAACCTAGTACAAGGTATAAGGTACTTGCATACAGCAGACCCTGGTTCAATCCCCAGCACCACTTATGGTCCTTGGAGCCCTAGCAGGAACAATACCTGATACCTTAGCAAAGCAGAAGTAAGCCCTGAGCACCAACCAGCTGTAGCCCAAAAACCAGAGAGACAGAGAAAGAAACAAAGAAACAGAAAATGCCTGGTTCTTTAACATAGAGTTTTGTTTCATTTTCTACCGCCAATATGAAAGATGGAATGTCTGCTGAAATTTGAGTTAGGATATTAACCACTTTATGGCACACTGTCCCCAAGAATAGTGGTACGTACATCTGGAAATGGAAGTGAACTTGAGATCAATTCTGATAATTACGAATGCTGGAACTCTGGTCACTAATTGGGCATCTAAATATTTGGGCACCAACTAAAGAGAGGCAAAAACTATTGCTCAAATTACTAAAATACCAATGGAAGGACAAAGAGAGAGCACAGCAGGTAAGGCATGTCCATGCATGCAACCAGCTGGGTTCAATCCGCAGCACTGTATATGACCGCCACAGGAGTCATCCCTTAGTGCCGAGCCAGAAGTAAGCCCTGAACATAGAAATTTTGGCCCCAACACTCCCCCAATAAAAATATCTACTAAATTATAAATAAAAACTAGATGCTTGATAATAAAAATAAGAGTAGGAACTTTGAACTTCTAACAAAAATAATCACAAAATATCAGATTTCTTCATGGAAGGACAAATATAACCAAGAGCTGGAAAGACAGCTCATGGAATTAAAGTACAAACCTGCCATATACTGGACCCCAAGTTCATCTCCATCACTGCATGGGAAAGAAAAGAAAAGGGTAGGGAAGGCAAGGAAAGAGAAGGGGATGGAAGGAAAGGAAGGGGAAAGGAGGGAAAAGAAGGGCAGGAGAGGAGAGCAGAGAGGATGGGGGAGCAGAGAGAAGAATTTGCAGCAACATCCAGGACCACAATCCCACAATCCTATACTAGCAACACTGGTCTGGAGGAAAGAAATTTTGGGGTAAAGATGTCAAAGCTACTGCCAGGCGCCATTCTGGCAACCTCTAAAACTTTTTGGTAACAGTGGTTCAAGTGGACACACCAGCATGGATTTTGATCTCCATAGTAACATTCCCTGAGGGCAAATTCCTGAGATCTATACCCACCCTTGGCAAACCGAGCTAGTTCAGGACTAAGAATTATCAAGAGTGCTTTCTCTAGCAGATAAGCAGACTCAGCCCCCCGTACACTTCTGACTCCTATAAACAAAAACAAAAACAAAAAAAGTACCCTGGAGGGGCTGGAGTGATAGCACAGTGGGTAAGGGCATTTGCCTTGCATGCGGTCAACCGAGTTCGATTCCCAGCATCCCATATGGTCCCCTGAGCACCGCCAGGAGTAATTCCAGAGTGTAGAACCAGGAGTAACCCCTGAGCTTTGCTGGATGTGACCCAAAAAGCAAAAAAAAATTTCCCAAACCATAATCAGTATGTCAGTGGGTCACTCTGCCTATTGTGTGTCTGTGTCAACCCACAGCTAGTCAGATTCTTTCCTGCCAGCTCCAAGGTGTGCATTCTATCACCCGCTAGAATTGAGGCCCCAACTTTCTGTTCAGCACACCCTGGTTATGTTCCCCAGGCACAACCACTGTCTCTTAAGACCATAGCAGTTTAGTATCTGCCGGGCACTATTGACCTTCAGGCTCTGGAAGTTGTCCAGGTCTTCTCAAACTTGGCAAATAGGTGTTCCCAAGTACTCACTATCTTGTATTCCTGGTTGTTGCCCAGGTCCTCTTATAGATAGGTCTGACCCCAGTCCCTGACAGAGCCCCATGAGCACAGATTCAGTGGGATGACAGAGAAATTTACCAATACATCAAGACTTAAAGGAAGAAAAGTTTTTCTTCCTTTTTAAAAAGCTTTTCTGACAAACATCGGGTTAGAGAATTCATTGCCATTAAACTGGTCTTTCAAGAAGGTATTTTTCTTTTCGGGGATGGAGAGTGGACATATCCAGCGGTGCTCAAAGCTTACACCTGTCTCTGTGCTCAGGTATCATTCCTAGCAAGCTCAGGGGACAAGATAGGGTGCCAGAGATGGAACCCAGGTTGGCCACATGCAAGCACTCTTCCCACTGTACTATTTCTCCATCTCCACGTATTCATTTTCATTAAATTACCACACTACATATCAAAAAGAAAGCAAAAAAAAAAAAAGCCAAAGACAGCTACCATATGATTCAGCAATTCCACTTTTATGTATTTATCCAAAGAATATAGAAATATTAACACAAATCCACCCCAATGTCTATTATAGCATTCTGTGCAACAGTTAAAATATGGAAGCGCCCAACAATACCTGGAGATAAAGAAGAGCTAGTACAGACCAGAGCAATAGTACAGTGGGTAGGGTGTTTGCCTTGCATGCCGACCCGAGTTCGATCCCTGACATCCATTATGGTCCCCCACACACCGCCAGAAGTCATTCCTGAGTGCAGAGCGAGGAGTAACCCCTAAGCACAACTGGTTGTGACCCAAAAAGTCAAAAAAAAAATCTGTTTCCAAGGAAAAAAAAGAAGAAAAAGTATCTGTTTTCCTTTACCCCTCTTGAAAGCTCCATCAATAACTACCTGGGTATTTTACACACATGCACATATATATATATGTGCATATATATATATATATGTATATATATATATATGTATATATATGTATGTATGTATATATACACATATATATATACATGCACACACATACCCCTTTTAAGACACAATTTAGACACAAAATCTTACTATAGAGTTGGAGTGTGGTTCAGTGGCAAAGTACTTGCCGTGCATGTGTAAAACTCTGGGTTCAATCCCAGCAACTACAGAAAAAAAAAAAGAAGAAACATTTTTACTACAGTAATGCATATGTACCTACATATGACTATGTATCTGTGTGTATGTGTATATATGCATGTACTTCTGGCCTAAATTTTTGCTAAATCCTTTGCAAAAAAAACTGTCAGAGTAATTATTTGAGGAGTTATATGGGAATTATTACTGATACACTTCCAATACAAAAAGAAGAAGAAAATACTTATCAACCAACCAGCTTTAACTTATTTTTCTGAATGACATCTTTGTTTTCCTTTTGGTATATCTCCATTTTCTTTTTGGTGTTGTCCAAATCCACATTGTTGGTCAAGTTGAAAACTGCATCAGAAAGCAATGACAAGAAATAATAGCTTAATATAAACGAGTATATATGAGTGAAACCAAATAATCACAATTACTCAATCCATCAGATTGTCAACAGAACTATTTGTGTCCTTTTACCTACTAGCTATTTCAGAGACAAGTTCTGATTCAGCAACTATTTTCAAGTCAAAATATAAGACTGTCAAAACATCACACAGAATATCTAAACATCTAGGAGACGGAGAGAGTAGAGGCAGGTTGAAAATACTGATACTTGCTCTGCACACAGCTGACCCGGATTCAATCCCTAGCAACCCAGATAGTCTCCCAAGTACTGACATGAATGATCCCTGACTAAAGAACCAAGAATAAGCCTGTACACCAACATTTGTGGCCAAAAAAAATAAATAAAAAAGAATGTTTAAATATCTCAATCATCCCAGAAAACTTAAAATAAGTGCTTTCAATAATCACATTAGAATTTCACCCTCCACTACAACTCAAAAATTTTAATTATAAATTCCTATACCCATCTGTTTATGTATATAATTCAAGGTTTTATAATGATCTGAACAACAATAAAAAAGAAATTTGACATATATAAATTCATATTATTAACTACTGCCCTACTACCTATTTGTAAAGTTTGCATTATTCTGTCTAAAAAAGACTCCATATCATTAACACACCAGTACCCCATAATTCAACTCATTCCTCCTTGGGTTCCTTGGTAATCTTCTTTTATTCAGTATTATGCCATCTATCCTTTCTTCAATTCTTACCACTTTTTCCAGCTGCTTTCCAAACAGATAAACAGGTTTCAACTACCTTCAATAAGGTTTCTCTATACATATTTCTATAGATTCCATCCCCCCTTCGCTTACAACTACCTCAAATATTTCCTAAACTTTTGGATTGTAGAAGCCTAAGAAAAGGTGAAAGGTAACACTGGAAGCCAAACATAAAACTATTAAAAGTATTCAAAAACTAATTTGATGCATAATTTCATTTTTACCTCTCCAAAAGGACAAATTATATCAGAAGGCCCATTTACCAGTACCTGAAAAATCAGGCTCTTTTAGGTATGTAGAAAAAAATGCATGCAATTCTTAATTATATTATAAGCAATTTTAAAATTCAGGGAGAAAATAGCACAAACAGAAAACAAAAAGCTCTATCCAATTCTCCAGTTTTTTCCCGCAAAGTAGAAAAGAAAACAGCGCTAGCAGTAAAGCAAGGCATTTGGCCAGGATTCAACACTGGATATTGTCTATAAATCACACACTATCCCAGTGTAAAATCACAGAGAATCCAGGCTAGAAACAGTTCTCAGAAAGGCGACTATGACCTATTAGTTAACATGTTTACCCAAAATCCAAATGTAGGAATGTTTGGTATAATTTGGCAGGTTATTTTTTGGGCCAAGGAATGCTATTATCACTCACTAGGATGAAAAACTGTTTCCATCTTGCTCAAAATAACCTACCAAAGTAAACTAAATAGAAACATTCTACTTTCCAACAATGGGAAAACCTCCAATATGTCTGCTTTCTCTATTTTTGCCAACTACTCACAACTTACTCTTTGTATGTAATAAGCCATATTGCTGAACCACCAAATTCAAAAATCTTACAACCTTTGCATTCCATTTACTAAAGTAAAAGGTAAAGGTAAAGGTAAAGGTAAAGGTAAAGGTAAAGGTAAAGGTAAAGGCCCTCCCGTTGTTCGTCGATTTGCTCGAGTGGGCCCAGTAACGTCTCCATTGGAGACTTTGTTGTTACTGTGTTTGGCATACCAAATACGTCACGAGGAGCTTGCCAGGCTCTGCCGTGTGGGCGAGATACTCTTGGTAGCTTGCCAGGCTCTCTGAGAGGGGCGGAGGAATCGAACTCGGGACGGCCATGTTGGCTGCGTGCAAGGCAAACGCCCTACCGCTGTGCTATTGCTCTCGCCCTTTACTAAAGTAGACCACTTTTATTTTTATTAAAGTATATTTTTACTTTATTATTTTATTTATATATAAGATATATAAATATTTTATATTTACTAAAGTAGACCACTTTTATTTTTATTAAAGCACTCTGTCCCTTGACTGACTTACTAATAGATTTTTCTTATATTCTTCCTACAACTACTCATTCATATTTCATTTCTGTTGGGTTGTTGTTGGAGGTGGTGGTTTGGGGGTCACACCTGGCTGTTCTCAGGGCTTACGCCTGGCTCTGGTCAGGAATCACTCCTAGCAGAGTTCAAGGGACCATACGCAGTGCCAGGGATAGAAGAAACCAGGACTATCGCATGCAAGGCAAGCAACTTTCCAGCTATCTCAAGGGTTCTTAAAGTATACTTTTTAAAAAACAATATGCCTCTAAATCATCCCTTCCCTATAAATTCTTTTTATATGTTACTAATATGATTATCAAGTTAAAAAAGTAAGACACTAAGGTTTATCGAACCATTCATCTGACCACTCTCCTTTACATTCTTAAGCACTGTCAAACCCTACAGATTCTACAACCAAAAATCTCTTTGAAACAGCTCTTATTCTGAAATCGTCCTGACAATATACTAAGCTGGGACCTTATTTCTCCCTGGATAATTTCTAATAATCTCTTATTTAATTTTCTATCTCCAGAATCTTTAGATTTTAACCTATATCCAAATCACTTATCACTTAAGTGATTTGGATCACTTAATCCCTGTTATTCATCGATTTATTCGAGCGGGTGCCAGTAATGTCTCCAATCATCCCGGTTGTGAGCTAGCGTAGCCCAATGGTATCTGTTCGTTCTAGGAACATGCAGAGCCTCAAACTGATCATTCAGGGTCTTGACGAAGAAGTCTGACCATCTTGTAGGTGGGCGTCCACGTGATCTTTTGATGTCCTGTGGAATCCAATCAGTAATGGCTCTAGTCCAGCGGTTGTCTGTAAACCTCATTACGTGTCCAGCCCATCTGATTTTTGATGTCTTGGCAAATGAGACAGCATCCCTGATTCTTGAGCCAACGTTGACGAAGATCAGAACTCCGGATTCTATCTCTCATTTGAGTGAATCGTGATATTCCAAGCATAGCTCTTTCGATTCCTCTTTGAGAGACCCGAATAGCGTTCTCATCCTGTTTTCGTAGGGTCCAGGTCTCTGAGGCATATGTTAATGCAGGAAGAACAGTGGAATCAAAGAGATGTGCTCGTAGCTGGAGGTTCTTTGTCCTTTTAGTTATTTCTTCAATGTTCTTGAAGGCATTCCAAGCCGCTCTCTTCCTCCTGCGCCACAGGTGCCAGGTCATTCATCATGTTCATTTCTCGACCTAGGTATATATAACTGTTGCATTCGGAGATGGTGGTTCAGTTGAGAGCGAATGGTGCGTCAGGAACAAGTCTGTTTCTCATAAACATTGTCTTGTAAGATTCAGCTGTAGTCCAACCTTTCCACATTCATGGTCAAAGTCGTTCAGCATTTGTGCCGCTTGGCTGATGTTTGGTGTTATTAGAATGATGTCATCAGCAAAGCGGAGGTGGTGTAGTTGACGACCATCTATCTTCACTCCCATGCTTTCCCAATCCAGTCGTCGCATAATGTTCTCGAGGGTGGCACTGAAGAGTTTCGGTGAAATGGTATCACCCTGCCAAACCCCTCTCTTGATATGGATGATTACTTCTTTATAGAATGGTGAGATCTTGGTAGTGAATCCGCAATAGAGCTCACGAAGGATCCTGATGTATTGAGTTTGTACGCCCTGATTGGCTAGGGCTTCCATGACCGCTTCCGTCTCAACAGAATCAAAGGCCTTCTTTAAATCAATGAACGTTAGACAGAGCGGCATCTTGAACTCCCGAGATACCTCAATGAGCTTAGTAATTGTGTGGATATGGTCGATGGTACTGAATCCTTTTCGAAATCCGGCTTGTTCACATGGTTGTCCTTCATCTAGTGTTCTGCTAATCCTATTCAGGATGACTCGAGTGAACAGTTTGTAGACGACAGACAATAGGCAGATTGGGTGATAGTTGCCAATGTCGTGGATGTCTCCCTTCTTGTATAGTAGTACAGTCCTGCTGGTTTTCCATTGGGATGGAACCTTGCATTCAGACAGGTAGCGTGTGAAGAGCCGAGCCAATGTATTGATGAGTACTGATGGTAAGTTCTTCAGGTGTTCAGGTCTGATCTTGTCTGGGCCAGGTGCTCTTTGTTTCTTTACCGACGAGATGGCATGTTGGATTTCGGAAGGGAGAACATTGGGAAGGACATATCCATCATGTGGTATGTGGTATGTGGGCAAGTGGATGTGGCTATTAAAGAGATCTGAGTAGAAGTCATGAATTATCTTCTCCATTGCCCTTCTGGAAGATGTGATAGATCCATCATGATGTCAGAGGGCAGTCATCTTGGTTTTGTAGTTGGTGAAGGACAGGCGGGCATTACGAATGCTTTTCCCAGCTTCTGCCGCATCTACCAGTACTGCTGCTCTCCTGTTTTTGAGGTCATCCTTGATGGCTTCTCTGGACTGTTTTGCCAGTTCGGATGTTCGCTTGTGGTTGCCTGAGGCATGTGCCAAGCCACGTTGGCGAATAAGTTCAAGAGTGTTCGAAGAAAGGCGGTTTTTTGTGGTTATCTCTCTCTTGGCATTCCTCGCACAATCATGGAGGTGCTGAATCATTCCATCGTATTCCTCATCAATGTTGTCAATGACGGCATCTTCCCATGTTGCTGCAACAGAGCCAAAGAGCTCCCAGTTGGTTGTCATTCTAGGAGTCCTCTTCTTAAACCTTGCATTCTTTTCTCCTCGTTCTGTGAGGTAGAATTTTGCACGAAGAAGACGGTGGTCTGATCCCGTTTGGAATTTTGGGACAACAGCAACATCGGTTAGGCAAAACTGCCGATTGAATATGATGTGGTCTATTTCATTGTGGAACCGTCCATCGGGAGATTCCCATGTCCAACGTTTAGATTCAGCCTTTTGGAACTGTGAGTTACCATGGAAGGTTTTGGTTGACATGATGAACTCAGACAGTC